CCAGCCTAGGCAACAGAGGGAGATTTTGTCTCAAAAAAAAAAAAAATAAATAAAAACCGAAGATTAATTAAATAATGTTCATCTCAATAAATTAGAAAAAGAAAACAGAATAAAACCAAAGGAAATAGAAAGAATAAAAGTATGAACAAAAATATGAACAGAAATAAGTGAAACAGAAAATATACCATAAATGAATTAATCAAGATAAATGTTCATTCTTTAAAAATAGAATCAAATTAGATAAATTTTTGGTGACATTCATACATGAAAAAAAGAAGAAACAAATGTGATTAAAAAGGGAGACATGGGCATAGATATAGCCCAGCTTAAAAGGACAATATGAGAATACGTTGAACTATTTTATTACTGATAAGGTCCCGGAATTACTACTTTCTTCCCTGCGTTTTTCTTCAGGAAACTGTCTCATCCTCTACCCACAGGTTCTTAAGTGTAAAGCAAGAACTTCCAGCAGATTTCCAAGATATTGCTGCAGCCACCTCCTTTTCAGGGTTTGCTGGGATTGTTACTTCAGATACAGCAAATTGACTTTGAGCTCCTACCTGCTATATTGAGTTGATAGTCAAGGATCTTCCTTGGGATACTTCTCTTTGCTCTGCTCCAGAATTAACCAAGCATCTCAGGGGCATACTCACCCCAAAGAGTGTGGGAGTTGTTAAATATCTTCTAATACCATACTGGAGTATGATTATCTAGCTTGTCTTTGTTATTGCTTTTTGATGCCTCTTGGAGTCTTACTTAAAGTTAGCTCTGTGTAATCTCATGAGCCCTTGACAACTAACCTGCAATTAGAGGAAAATCCACCAAGGTTCTTTGAGGGAAGATGATTCTGATTGGACCAAGCTTATTTGTACTCTTAAGTTTAGGATTCTAGGGTTAAAGCTTAGTGATTCGATTTTTTTGGTTTATGATTACAGTCACTTCCTAAGGTGAACAGCTGCTTTCAAAATTACTGCCTCGGGTCAGGTTTTGGCATTTGCCTTAAGGGGTTCTGAAATCACAAAAAAATTGGTACATTACCTCTCCCTGGACCACTGGGGCCAATCTCAGAATTTCCAAGGTAACTTTTCCAAAAGAATTCCTCAGTATTTCTAAGGCAATTTTCTGCCCTGTCTTGTATAATGAAGCAGCTGGATTTTCCCTCACTAAATAAGAAGGAAAAACACCTCACACATTTATCATTTGCTAAAATACTTTCCTGGTAGTGATGAAGGAGACCCAGGCATCTCAGATCAACTTCCCCTTTGACTATCACACTGCATTTCAATAGAAGAAAAGGCTGACCGATTGGCACCTCCTGTTTCACCTTCCTGTAGGTGGCAGGCTTGGTCTTGGGGAAACTCCGGAAGGCAGTATTTTTACTTAAAACAATATCAAACCAGAAAGCTTTTGATGTGTGAGTCCTAAAACTGTAAACCGGAATCCTTTCATATGTGATCCCTAAAACTGTAACGTTTTCACATGTGAGTCCTAAAACTGTAAACTGGAACCCTTTCATATGTAATTCCTGAAACTGTAAACAGAAACCTTTTCATATGTGAGTCCTAAAACTGTAAACCGGAACCCTTTCACATGTGATTCCTGAAACTGTAAACCGAAACTCTTTTCATATGTGATGCCTGAAGCTGTAAACCAAGACCCTTTTCATATGTGATTTCTAAAGCTATAAACCTAAGATTATTCTATGTGTAATATCTAAAGTATAGGCCTATATAAAGGCAGAACCTTCCTTTGTTAGATGAGCTGAATTTGGACAGAACATTTCCTCAGCTCCTGGCTTTAATAAATTTCTTCGGTATTCGGTGTTCGGGAGATCTGTTTCCCACGGCCTTTCCTGCTGCATTTTGACACCAAACAAAATATAACCATGTTGTCTTTGTTTAGAATATTAGTATAAATAAAGTTGATGTGCATTTTGCATTATTCTAACATCAGGAGAGATTTTAAGAATTTTCTTATAACGTCCCATAAATTAATCTCCATTAACAATCTCATATTTCATTTATTATTGAATTAATTGAAGTTTATTATTTATCTGAGGGCTGCCATATCATCCATTCACTTATACATGAATTTGTTCATTCAACAAATATTTGTTGAACACCTACTATATAAAAAACACCCTGGAGGAGATTAAGTAAGTAACACTAGGGAAACACAGACATGACCATGTCCTCACAGAGTTTGCAGTCTAGAGAATTTCTTTTTTAGAAAAGAGTCTGAATTCAGGCCCTGCAATCATAGAGGTATTCCTATAAGGAAAGACACACATTTCTGTAGGTACAGAGTGGGATGACATGACCTGTGTAAATTTAGAATATTGGAGAGAATGTTAGAGAAAACAAAACATAGTAATGAGGAAGGATCATGGCGTCAGGTATTTAAAGGGAGCTTGTGTGAAGAAAAGCTGTTTAGCTAGATGGTGATCCTATGGCGGAAGATGAGTATCCATGAGTATCATTTCATCTTTAACCAATCGGAAATCATTCCCACTTTCTTACTGAAGATCTTTTTTTTCTCTCTCTCTTTCACTTGCATTCTCACATTTACATTCCATCTAAGTCTCCAAATCATAAAGCTTCAAAAGGTCACACTCTATATAGGGGAGGCAGGTACACATTTTAACATATCCTACAGAAAATAGGTTACATCAGTATTACTGATTTTATGGAGGAGATAATACATAGAAAATTTTGTGTGTGTGTTTTAACTCAAGAAAATCTTATTTCTTGCTTTGGATCCAGTTTAGGTCAGCAAGGTGGTTCAGCACCTGTGATCAGTCATTCAGAGACCCCACTCCCAGCTCCTCCTCACCACCACCACTTTTAATTCATGACCTTAGGTTTTTCTGGCATCTAGCTGGTGAATACAGAGAGAGAAGGTGAATACAGAACCAGTGTTTTTCACTACCTTGGCCTGGAGGTAATGCTTATCACTTCCATTCACAGTCCTTTGATGTGAACTGGCTGTATAGCTTCATCCAGGTGGAACAGGGGTGGAATATATAGCACAGCTATATACCCAAGTAGATATTAAGTCTGGCGAGAAGCTAGCTCATCTGCTTCAGTCAGTCTCCTCATTTAAAAATGGGAGTAATAGCTGCTGCCTCACAAGGTTGTTTTGAGGGAACAAAGTGCTTGCACAGTGCCTCATCCATAGTAAGTGGCTCAATAAGCACAGCGAATACTTTGGACATCCATAAACAAATTTCCACTCAGAACTAATACCTTTGTGGCATTCTACTCTTTCAAATCTTTTAAGAGCTTCCTATTTTCTTTGAATAAAAAATAAATTATTGACCAGACTCTCTAACATCTGGCCCCTGCCTTCATTCCCAGTCTCCTTTTTGCCACCATTTATCCTTCACTCATATAATCCAGCTTACACTGGCCTTTCTATGCTTCTGAGACCACCCTGTTTCTCACTGTAGATTCCATGGTCCCCTCTGTCTGAAATGCTTGTGCGCCAGCTGTTCACATGAGTGATTCACTCTCATCTTCCAGGTCTCATCTCAGGTATCACTTCCTCAGAGGCGTGTCCTGACCATCCTATCCAAGTGGCTTCCTCCCTGTCTCGTCTTCTCCTGTTTTTGTTACTGCAATCTGTAATATTCTTCTTTTTAAATTTATATTTCTTTATTAATTGAAACAATTAATATAAGAGAAATAGAGATGGGGTCTCACTATGTTGATGAGACTGGTCCCCAGCTCCTAGGTTCAAGGTATCCTTCCATCCTGGCCTCCCAAAGTGCTAGGATTACAGGTGTGAGGCTGTAATGTTCTTCTCTATTTGTTTACTTGTTCATGGTCTTTCTTTTCCATCAGAGCTGCTGGCTCTTTGAAGCCAGGGGCTTTGTCCGTTTACTGGCTTATCTTCTGAAATGAGAGCTGAGCAAAGCATATAGTAGGCGTTAAATACTTGATGACCGACTGATGAATGGATGAACAATTTTAAGATAAACTGGATATATTCTCTTTGGGTCTTTCACAATATCTAACAACATACTCACATTTCCCTATTATTATTTCCACATTCCCTTCTAGGTAGTGTTTTAGCTCTAGCCTTCCTCCTCAGCCAAGCTTCTTGAAAGCACAGTTTACACCCAATGCCACCTCCTTTCACTCCTGAACATATCTTCCTCTGGCTTCTGCCCCTTCCTACCATTCCACAGAAATTATTCTTGTTATGGGCATCCAATTTACCAAATCCAATGCCTGCTTCTTGGCGGTTACCTCACCTAACTTGTTTCCTTGATGCTGTTGAGTACTCCTTCTTCTCGAAACTCTTCTGCTTTGACTTCATATTCCTAAAGATACCAGTGTATAGCAGTGGTTTTCAACTGGGAATAGTTTTGCTGGGAGGGGGTGCTATCGGCATGTAGTTGGTAGAAGCCAGGACTGCTACTAAACATACATTTGCCTTAGGCAAAGAATGAACTGGCCCAAAATATCCATAGTGCAAAGGCTAAGATACCCTGGTTACAGGATGTTTTGCAAATACTTTATGAACAACATGGTCATGATCAGAAATAAATCACTACCTCTTTTCTCACCTATTCACTTATTACTTGTTATTCCTAATCTGATTAATGGCACTTGTCTTATAAACCATATCTTGAAAATCATTTTTAATTCTTCTCTCTCCCTTATCAAGCCCATTTATTAGTCACTAATGCCCTTTTGATTCTGTCACCTAAATATCTTTAATCCTCTCTTTCCCTTCAGCTACCACTGCCTTTTGCAAGAATCCCCTAGATGGACTCCCTGCTTTGAGTCTTACAAACACCTCCAACTCATCCTCCTCAAGTAATCTTTCTAAAATGGAAGCTTGATCACATTTCTCCTATGGCCTACAAGATAAAGGTTTAGCTTCCGGGTCTTATTTATCATGCATACCATGTGTTTTATTATCTACAGATGTGTGTTCTGTCACTCTTCTTCCTAATCTCCTTCCAGCCTAAACAAAACACCAAGAAACAAAAAACTAGAAAAACGAAACAAAAACCTCGATGTATCTATCACACTTCCTTCTAGTGGACATGATATGCCTCCTTTTTGCAATGTCCTCCCACTAGGGTCCCAACCAGGCCCTCCTGAAAATTTCCTTCCTGAAAAATTCTCTCAAATTCTACTCTGTGCAGCCATATATTTCTGTTGGGACACCTATTTTACACATACCATCTCAGGCAGAAAATCCCCAAACTGAAATGTACAGGCCATATACTTTTATTCTACTGAGGTTTAAAAATTTTGAATTCCTTATCTATGAGGTTGAAAATCCCAATTAAATTCATGGTCTTTCCCTCTTGCCCCTGTAGGCACCCACCCTCATTCCTCCTTCAGATTTTGGTATCCTCTTCCCAGTATCTGTGTGTTGTTTGCACATTTTTCTATCGTTTTGCTTTTAGAGCCACACTGGAGCTTGAGAATCTGAGGCTTTCTGTAGTTTCCCCGTACACAGAATCATTCCCTCTTTGGAGTCCTGCTACCTACTCCAGACTACTTGGAATGCAGACATTTGCTATTACTCTGGGACCCAGGGGTATTCCCTTTCTCTTTTTTTTTTTTTTTCTTTTGAGACAGAGTTTCGCTCTTGTTACCCAGGCTGGAGTGCAATACCGCGATCTCGGCTCACCGCAACCTCCGCCTCCCGGGTTCAGGCAATTCTCCTGCCTCAGCCTCCTGAGTAGCTGGGATTACAGGCACGCGCCATCATGCCCAGCTAATTTTTTGTAGTTTTAGTAGAGACAGGGTTTCACCATGTTGACCAGGATGGTCTCGATCTCTTGACCTCGTGATCCGCCCGCCTCGGCCTCCCAAAGTGC